TTTTTTTAATTTTAAAAGTTTAAGTTACTTCAAAACTTTAACATTAAATGGTGAGAATGTTCATCTTGCCAAAACGAACCAATCTAGAATAATGAAAGTAGTGTGCCACCAAATGAAAAAAATTACATTGATTATAAGATGACGATAATTTGCGAAATAAAAATTCCAATTTTAAAATTTTTATTGGCATACTCCAAATTCATTCTAAAATAGTTAGATATATACTGAAGAAATTAATATACATATTCGTCAAGAATACTGTAGAAAAATATTCAATGCCAATATTTAATTATTTTTGAATAATATGACTCGAGGAGAGGAGAGGCGTGCGAGAGTAAACGTGTTAGCTGATTGTGTATGATGCTACGGGGCGTATACGTTGTTTTTTACTTTTTTTTAGTATCTTTTTTAAGTTTTCATTTAAATACAATTTCTCGATGGAATCTGGTTCTTTATACAAAACTGAAGATAATGCATTATCCAAGATAAGTGAGCCACCATTTTCGGCCAAAAACACGTTCTTGTCGAAAAATGGAAACTTATAAGATTTCCTCATATATGTGTACACACATACTTCTTCTTCTTCTTCTTCTTATTTGGCGCTGTAACCGCCTAAGCGATCTTGGCCGAGTAGGAGGAAGAGAGAGGCTCCCACTGCCACGCCTGCCGTGTTTTTTTGAACTCGGCCAACAACATAAATACATATGTACATATTTCATAGACTGTATAAAGCCACATACAGACCAATTATGTTGTATGGGATCATTTCTGGTGGAATTTTCTAGAAAATAGTTAGGAAGTTAGAACGGCTAATAAGGGGGTCTATTCATCTACTTTAGTACTGAACGATATACTATATATCAGCTTGATTCAGATTGCAAAACTAAGTATTTAGTCTTATTATTTAAACGGCGGTTAAGGACTAAAAAATCTAAGAAGTTTTCAAAGCTTTTGTATTAAGAATAACTTTGTAGCTTATTAATTTTTAAGAAACTCGATCAATTCTCCACGAATCGTATTTCACAGACGCAATTCACCAACATTCAAGATGTAAAAATAAAATCATCGTTGTACCCAACAAATTGTAAAAAACAAAGTCTCATCGAAATTCTTCGCATTTCACAAAATTCTGCAATACCGAATTCAAATGCAAATTCAGTGCGACGATTTATGGTAGGTGCCGTTGTTAAACTGTCAATTGGAACCTAATTGCATTCGCGCAAGTGGCATGCCATGAAAATTGTCGCAAATATCTACATAAAATAGCCATATACATAAGTCATAAAGTACCTGTTAAGGCAAAAAGAGAAGAACAAAGCAAAAAATAATAAAAAACTATAGGTATACATACTTACATAGATACATACATACATACATATATGTAAACAAATAACGCAAAATGCATCACCTAGTCAGCTAGCAATAAATCGAAATAATGTTGACAACGGTGTAATCGCTTGCAACCACTGAAAAATGCATAACAAAACAGCTTGGCGTACTTTAATATTGCAACAACACCAACGAGTAGATAAAAAGTGAGTACTCAACAAATTGTGTGGAAAATTATGTGCGATATATTGAACCGGTTAATTGAAAGTAAATTTGGCATTTACGCACACGCGCTTGTGTAAACAAATTAAAGCAAAGAAGGGCCCCAAGGCAGACAAAAAGAAAAAAGAAAACAGAAATAGTGGCACGCGTGACAGCTGCCTCAATTAAGCGCATAACAATAGTGGTACAAGGTAAGGCGCAATTCATCGTATTGGATGGCGGTTAAAACATAATTTATGCCAAGACAAAAAGATCTTAAAGTCCAATTGTAGTATCAGGAATAAATTCTTCTACAAGAAAATGTACCTCAAAGGAGAGTTAACTCAATCGATTTAAAAATTGACTGATGAAGGAAAGTTAACTCGCATTAAATCCTCGAAGGACTTCAAGGATTCGGCACCTCCTCGAACCTCGTTTGCCGTGGAATTCATTGTTACCGAACAGTAATTGGGTATAAATCGAAAAGTGTTTGAAAAGGCTTTATTTCTGAACTTTTATTAGGAGGGCTGCCACCTGTTTAAAAAGTAAAATTCCATTTAAATTAAGGCCATTTCACAATAAGTCTTTCAGGCGAGAAAGGTTTAAGAAGGTTTTAGTGTCAAAATATTTTAAATAGGGTTGCCACCAGTCTCGAAAAACTAACTAAGAAACATTTATTATTTCGCCGATAAGAGTTATTGCCCAACGTTTATTTTTTCCGTTGCTTGATAACAGTTTTTACCCAACGCTTATTTTTTCGTTGTCTGTTAACACTTATTTCACTGCTCCTCTTTTATTTTCATCATCTTTATCTTCTTCTCTATCTCCGTTCTCGTCAATATTCTTATCTTACAACGTTTATCAGACAACGTAAAAAATAAACGTTGGATAATAACTGTTATCAAGTAACGTAAAAAATAGACGTTGGGCAAGAACTGTTATCAAATAACGTAAAAATAAACCTCAGGTCATAACTCTTATCGGCGAGATAAAAAAAAAATATTTCTCATCTGATAACTGTTATGAAACAACGTTTTCGTTAAATTTCAGAATTCGGACAACGTTTTCTAATTTGAAATTTCAGATAACAGTTATTTTTGGTCCCTGCATGAAATATTAATATATGCGTGGATATCGAGCGAAAAAGTGTTACGACATCTTTAGTTTGAACACTAAGAGTATTTTCAAAGTGTTTGAGGAGGGTTGCCACCTGTATAAAAAATCGATTTTAACATGAATTAGGGCTATTAAGTAATTTAAGTGTGTATTACAGTATATGTAGGTGTTAGGAGAAAGAGGTTTATTAGGGATTTAATCTGAAAATATTTTTAAGAGGATTGCCACCTGTTTTAAAAGTCGAATTTATTTAAATTATTATTTATATAAGTTGAGTGAAATATCAAATTATGGGTGTGAAACGTAAGAATGTGAAGAAATCGTTAGTTTCAACATTTAGAAAATTTTTGATGTATTTTGATATGGTTGCCACTTGTGTAAAAAATCGATTTCAACCTAAATTAGGACTATTAGGCAACTAAAATATGTATCGCAATATACGTGCTAAGCGAAAGAGGCTTGAGAGGACTTTAGTCTGAAAATATTTTTAAGACGGTTGCCACCTATTTGAAAAATCGATTTTATTTAAATTAAACCCAAGTTGTATGAAGTATTAGAATATGGGTGTGAAACGAGCGGAGTGTTTAGAAATCTTTAGTTTCAACATTTGGAATATTTTTGGGGTATTTGAAGAAGGTTGCCACATGTTTAAAACACACAAATTCAAATTAATTTGAGTTATGTATTAGAAATACATATTTATCATAATTTCAGTCGAAAGAAATTTAAGAAGATTTTGGTTTGAAAATACTTTTGGCCAGGGTTGCCACCTGTTTAAAAACATAAATTCAATTCTTGCGTTTTAATGCCATGCGCGTTCACTATTAAAGAAGATTTCGAGAAAAAAAACATGAAAAGCTCCATTTCTGAGAGCGCAAGTGAACAACGCAAAAAATTGTATACATAAAAAAAAGGATTTACAAAAAACATTCCTGCGATCAACTACTTAGTTAACGGCACATTCCCAACATTCCAGCTTTGACTTGCATGCGGGATCGCCCACCACTAATTGCATGTTACATAGCTGACAGCTGTTCATTTCCTAAAATTTGTTCGTGATTTTAGGGACCTAACTTTTGAATTAAAGCGAAACCGAAACGAAAGACTAAGTTAAACTTGTCAATTAACGGCAAGCTTTTAAGGCGGAAGCTGCCAGCATTCAGGGGTGCAGCCAATGAATGCGGCGCGCAAACGGTGACAAGAAAAGGAGCCGCCGCCGCCGTCGCCGACAAGGTACATACATATATATCTACAACTATATGCGAGTACATGCATTCGACTTTGCAGTACTCTATTTTTATTTTTCATTAGCTAAGTTAGTGTCCACTACTACGCGCCGCCTTGTAAGACACGCGCGTTCTTCGATATGCATAGCTTTAATGTGCCTATATTGCGGATTACGTGGCACACGTTGACCAGCCTAAAGAGTGATGAAAAAAATTACCCTGCCACCATCAGATGATTGCCGCTGCATAGCGCCGCACCGCACGCCTGCTGGCTAGGCAGAAAAATGATATTGTATGCGCATGCGCGCGTGCGTATGCATTTGTATCTGTTATATGGCTTATAAATATATATATATGTATGTAGCGTACCCAGCGTGTGTACTTGGGCGACGCCTGTGGGGCACAGGCACGCTGCTGGCTGCTGCTGCTGCCGCTGTTGCACCAGTTACCAGTAGATCTAGATGGGCGTGCGCGTTTGTATGTGCGGTTTATTCCAAGGCGGCATGCGTGCTCTTGCCATTTGCTGTTCTTATATTGCATTGTTGTTGTTTTGATATTGCATTCACTGCCGCAGCAGCATTTTGTTATAGGCCTATGCGCCTAACCTAAGCCTAAATCACGAATGCCGCCGCCTCCGCGTTCAGCACCATTCCGCAAGCGCATTGCGTCGATCAGCTAGCTGTATGCTTGCTAAAGTTTGCATGAGCGCGCTGCTGGCTCAGTAAAAGCAGCGGCAGTGGCAGCCGCCGCCACGACAACGACGAAAAATGAATTATTTTAATTTCGTTCGTAGATTTTTATTTTCTTCTTTTTTTTTTGAACGCGTCTAATACGCCTTTGTGTCTCTGTTGTTGGTGCTGCTGCTGATATATATATTTTTTTTTGCATAAATAACTATATGTATTTACGTATGTATTTTATATAAACAATTTTTGTTAAGTTGGCTTGCCGCGCTTGCATCAGCCAAATAGGCAAGTAGGTACAAGCGGGCGTAAATTTCAATGCACACACATTTTCTGCGAAGTGGCTGCAAAAATTGCTTGCTTGCCGCGCCTATATAAAGCAATTGTTGATCTTGCAAAGAACCACAGAGTAATTTCATTTGTCAAACGCAACAGTCAAGCAGTCATGGTACAAAAGGCAAGTGTGTCTGTGTGACTTTTTCTCAGTGCTAGCGTGTGTGTGTGTGTGTGTGTGCGTTGAAAGCATTAAACCGCACACACAACTCCTGCCTACAAACGTGGATTTTATACTGACGCACACGCATTTCTTTTTTACAGTTGATTCTTCTCAGCGCTTTGGTGGCCACCGCTACCGCCGTTGCAGTCCTGCCCGGGCCCGGATACCCAGGTTTAGCAGGCATCGCAGGATTACACGGCCTGCCCGGATTGCCCGGATTACCCGCATTGCCTGCGCTACCAGCCCTGACGAAAATTGCCGCGCCTGTGCTGCCTGCCATCACCAAGATTGCTGCGCCACTTGCCGTCGCAAAAGTGGCCGTCCCAGAGCCATACGATCCCAATCCACAGTATAGTTTCAGCTATGATGTTCACGTGAGTATTTTGTGTGTGTACAAAGCATTGCGCGCACCACGCGCCGCGCGTCAACGAAGCAGGTGCTCGATTATTGCTTATACATATTCTGCATTTGTCACTTTAGGATAGCTCAACCGGCGATGTGAAGAGTCAACAGGAAGTGCGCAGCGGTGATGTTGTGCAAGGCGCTTACTCGCTGATTGAACCGGATGGCACGCGTCGCATTGTCGAATACACCGCCGATCCAGTGCACGGATTTAATGCAATCGTTAAACGTGAACCAATTGCTGTTAAGGCGGTCGCTCCAATTGCCAAAGTACTCGCCCCTGCACCGTTATTGGCTGCTCCAGTCATAGCTAAGGCTATACCAGCAATACCAGCATTGCACGGTCTACCGGCGCTTGGTCCTCCATTAGGTCCTGGACCGCTTTCTTACTTACACGGCTAAGCGGCGATAAAAGACGAAATGTGACATCAACAACAACAACAACAACTGGAAAGAAACACACACCCACACACACACACTTAGTCAGTTCACATATACATACATAGAAAAGTATATGCGAAAATGTGAAATATTACCGTTGCCGACCTCTTGCCGCTGCCATCGCCCCATAAATGATTGACAACACAACTAGCCAGTAGCCCTCTGCAAGTCGACAAGCCAACAAAGAAGCAAAGAAACAAACAAACAACGCACAAGAATGCAAGCGCCTTCTCCACGCTAGCGCTATATATCGGCGCTTTCATCTGCACTTTAATCACAGCTTCGATGCTTTTAAAGTTGAAGTTGAAGTTGAAGCGCGCATCCTACGCTTTATCGGAATGGGCGCGTTCTCGCACAGTGGCAAACGAAATTCTTCTACTACTCAATGCATTTCAGCAAATCATAGTTGGAAATGTTTTCGCTGTAGTAGTAGTAGTAGTTTGCACATACACACGCACTCACATATACGCGCACTTCGAATTTTAACTCCAGCTACATACTCTCTCTCTCTATCTCTCTGTGAAAGCTCTGGAGTTTCTAAGCGAAAGAACGTCGAGAATTCATAGCTGCACCTAAACGCACTTTAGTACTTTTTATATGCAACTTATTTCGTTGGCTTGTTGTTGTTTAAGCTATTTTAAAATATGTATTTGTCTCAATATTTCATGCATACACATTCACGCACGCGCTTTACCATGTTCTTCATATTAAATATCTTCGTTATTCGTTATAAATATTTCTCGTTTATGTTTTTTTTTGTTTTGTTTATTAGTTAGTTTAAGGCTGTTTGACCGCGATAAATACCTACATTACTATTATTGTATGTTAATACTCATATGTAAATCGAATAAAGTGTATCAAAGTATGCAATTTCAAAAAAATAAATAAATAAATAAGTCTTTAAAATCGGTTAGGAAATGAAGAATTGCGAAGTAAGCGATATGGCATCAAAAGGAAAACTGCTTTTACATTTAACCAGCAGCAGGCCGTGTTCGGCAGAAGCATGCTCGTACAGTTAGTTTTTTGAAGGACAAGATCATTTCATTGTCATAAATGCCTTATCTGATCAAGGCTATGGATGCTAGGCGAATTCGGTAGCACTGTGCGACCAGCCCGGTCTTTGCTAACATTTTCTGAAAGTATACCCATCCAGTAGCAAAAAATGCGTTGGATTTGCAAAAGTTAGCTCCGCTTTTTATTTTATGGCCTACTAAAGTTTTCATGTCTCGACCAAAGTGGTTTTCAAAAAAATCGAAAAAGTTGTTAGAATAAATGTCTAAGCGAAATTAAAGATTGAGACATATATAGCAAAATTACAAGGGAAATATTTTCGAATAACATTTTAACCCATTAGCTACCGCCTGAAAGAGTCCTTTTGACCCTTACTTCAAGAAACGCCGCAAAAGCAAAAATATGGAAGGTCGTTAGAGGATTAACATATTCACGAAAATTTTTCTTCGGAAAATTTTACTAGGGGTCTAAGGGTTGTTAAACAATGGAACTCAGTACCATTGTGGTTGTACCAGCACAAGTGACTCCCCGAAGGTTCAGTTCTCCCAAAAGAGGTCGTTACGCCACAAATTGTTGATAAAATCCGTGGAATGATATTGGACGATCGGAGAATGAAAGTGTGTGCTGACACTCTAAACTGAGTGGATACATCACATTTTTTATGAATATTTGGATACACAAAACCTATCCGCGCGATGGGTGCGGCGCTTTCTTACGCCCGACCATAAACGCAACTATGTGACCACTTCAAAGGAGTGTTTGGCGATGTTCACCTGCAATCCGAACAAACTTTTGCACCGTTTCGTAACAGTTGACGAAATATGTATCTACCACAACACAACAGAGACCAACGAACAATTAATAACTGCACCAAAGTGGGTCTGTCGTCCAACAAGATCATGGACAGATTTGATATTGATTTGAAGCAAAAACTACCACATTTGGCCAAGAAAAAAGTGCTAGTCACCATAGAAAAAGTCCAATAATTTGGCTACGAACTTCTATTCAATCCACCATACTCAGCAGATTTAGCGCACAGCGACTATTTCCTGTTACCTGGGCGGTAAGAGATCTGAGTCGAATGAAGAGGTCATCACTGAAATAAAGTCACTTACTTTTCAAATTGTCCTCGTATTAAGTATATGCGCTGGAGTCCGGAAGAAAAGGCTAATCAGCTTTATGACTCTTTCAAAGTAAGAAAAAAACGTATCAAATTGGTTCACGCAAGAAGCACTTCGAAAGAAATGAGCGCTTTTTTCCACGACATGTGGCTATAGTGACGCTAAAACAACGTAGAAGAGTGATTTTTAAGCATTCCAAATATCGAATTGGTGGTTCCTTCGCCGCACAGCCCTGATTTGGCATCTAATAGTATTTTTGTTCCCGCATATCAAGAATAAACTGCGCTGACAACGATTTTCATAGCCTCAAGAAGCTGTTGATGCGTTCAAAACCCATGTTTTTGAGGTACCGGCTACACTGTGGGAAAAACAATAAGACCATGTTTACCGACAAAATTTGTTACTATCCTAGGAATTGTAAGGACTTTTTAGTGACCCCCTCGTATAACCTTCGTACTTCTAGAGTAGAGTGTAGAGTGACGTTGAGCACAACTTTCAGCTCCGTCCAAATTGGGGAGGACCTCTCTGCGCCCTTTGAGACCCAACGACGTTTTAAACAAGGCGATTCGGGGCGATAGATCTCGTGCGACTTTTTCAATCGGATGCTGGAAAGCGTAATAACAAAGGGACGTAACCGCAGCATATTCCAGTTTAGAAAAAGACATCGGCCTGGAGGAGCAGAGCCATCTATCGACGAATAAAAATTACGCTCTACAAGTCTCTTGTCATGCCAGTTCTTCTAAGTATATGGCGCAGATACGTGAACGAAAAAAGATAAGAAGGCGTTAGCGGGCTTTCGAGAGAACTATTCTACGCAAGATGTACGGCCCAGTTCGCATGGACGACGGGTATAGGAGAAGATGGAATGGCAAACTGTATGAGCTTCTTAACGACGACGCTCCGAACCCATGAGGGGACAACGAAAGCAAGGGCGCGCCAGAGATGAATCTCCACGAAATTTGGAGGTGTATAAAATATTTGAAATTTCGGCAAAGTTTTTGCATATGCTTTATATGTATGTATGTATGTATGTTTATATGAAGTTTCTAGTTGCCGCTGGTTAAAGACTTAATTACATTCGACTGACCGTTACCGCTCTGTACCCGTTCACAAAATTTGCGTAAATTGAAAGTAATGCGGAGCATGCAAATTTGAACGGATATTACATCAGCTAATGCAGTTTCAATGTAACCTGCGTGTGTGGCGTAGCGTTTTTCGGCAGTCAAAACAATTTTAGATATCAAAAATATACGTCGAATGACGTGGTCAAATGTAGTACTTACGTTGGGTGTGACAAGATTTAATAGAGTCAATTGACATATTGATATGACTACACATGAAAATACGTATGTATGTATTTGTGCATGCAATATCAAATTTAAATATGTATTTCATTTATGCGAGGACAGTTCGAGAAGTCAGTGATATTTTGAATCTCCCGTGTAGGAACTTCAACCATATGACAATGCAACACTGCTGCTATCAACTAAGTATCATCTTTTTATAGACTACCCGCAAATTTTAGCAACCGCCACGGTCACGGTTGCCACTTACCTCCTTTTTTGTGTACAAAAAACTGTACCAGAATGTAAAAAAATTTACCAAAATATTTTTAGCTATAGATATAATTATTCAAATATTTTACAAATACATATTGGTGATATAGTTAATAATAAGATTTTTCGCTTGTTTTGTAAACTATTTAATAATGCTGGAATATTCCTTCCTTAGGAAAATTTCTCTGTAAAAAACAAATTGTTTTTTTTTTTATTATAAACGCCAATATACGCGACCTACAACGTATGTATATAGATATATTGTGCTGACCCTATAAAAGCTCACTCCAACCTTAGACCACTTGACAAAACTAAACCTTTTGGAGGTCGTCATATGTCTGATTCGGGACGTAGATGATAATTGCTCCCCGAAATATAAGAATCTTAGACTTTTGATACGTGGGAAATCGCATAGTATATTCCAGTTACAGAACCTACAGTATAGTCAGGTAGCCTGTAAAGTGCTCACGCCTTTCGGACTAAAATTCAGAAGTCGTTCCGAGGTTCATTTAGGGGGAGTTATAAGTTTCTAGACTGCCTTATCCCTTTGCCACTCGCCATTCGGCGGCAGCTTGAGAACTTTCCTACTACTCTAGTAGCCCTGCTGTGTAGGCTCCATTGCATTCCACGTTTTGCGTGAACGTCAACTCATTCGCGGCCATTAAACCCTCATGGTTGGGATTAAACCACGTTGACTCTCCCTCTTCCGATGAAGTTGGCGATGATGGACTTTAGTGCAGTTATTGATAGACCCGGTTTCAGAACACAGAACATTTCTCTATCAGTTCTAAGTCTGCCTGCAATCTAGAAAAAAAATTGTTGCAGCCACCACGCAGCTGAACAGCTTATTTGCATAGCCAAAAGCTTTGTCTGTTAATCTTCCAGGAGCTCTTGCCTACTGCCTCCTAATTCATACTGCCTTTGAGTAATAACATTAGACATATGCTTTCTTGGTGTCGGACCTATACCCTTTGCATTTGGCTCTTAATGACAAACTGATACCAAGAGTATCTTTCCCAAAAGGGATCAATGGAAGGTCACTCTCTTGGGGAACTTAGTAAAACTTGTCTATACCGACGGCTTCGAGACTGAAAATAATAATCTAGCTGGATAGAACTGAGAGGGTAATATCAGTTGCGTTAATGCTTTCTGCAGGTATAAATTACAACGGGCTTTCTTTGCAATACTTGAAATCGGAATCTGCAGTGACAGCCAAGATAGTATAAAGGCTTTGGAAACCGCTCGCACTTTTTCAAAGCTCAATAGTCCAGGAATGTACATATGTATGTATGTAAGTTGAGGCTGAACTGAGTTGCAGAGTGGAACCAGCTTCGACTTACATATGTATGTGAATACGGGGACACTGTGGTGCTCCAAGGCAACAAACTGGCTGTTGAATTGGCGAACTGCGATTCTGAAGGGACTCGAATTGGAGTGCAGCGAATTATCGGCCTTAGATTACAGAACATGGATCTCATGAATAAGGCTCTTAACAGTCGTTGGTGCAATACAAGAGTTTACTGTAAAGGCCAGACAGGATGATGTCGAAATTCCTTCTTAGACAGCAGAGTGAGCTACGAGCCCTAATAGGTCTAATAACTGAACACAAACCATGGGGGCGACATCATAGGTAAATATCATCGACGACTCATTGTGTAGATTTTGTTTGGAGAATGAGAATAGTACAGAGCATTTTCTCTGCAGCTGTACGACAATCGCCAGACTGAGATGGTATATTTTTGCATTTTGGTAAAAGTTTGAAGAGAGTAATTATTTTCCATGCTCACATTTTGCTATCCTTTAAATACTTTTTCGAGGGTTTAAGTATAATGGCCAATATTTCCCACCCANAAGGTCTGAAATTTTAAGAAAAGGCAATTGCTTCT